TGTACAATAAAACACAGAAGGGACAACCTCGTGTTTTTCTCTCCCTGCAGTATTTTATTTGAGAATAAAACACGACTCCGTAGTTTTGGTTGAAAATGTAAAACCGCGAGCCAGAACCCCGAAGATAATGTAGTTTACACATTTAGTCAAAACAGAAAGGCTGTTTGGAATTGGATAACACGAAATTCAATCCAATATGTTGGTAATGATCACAGGTGTTGAGTACTTTTAAAAGCTGTCGCCAAGGTGACCCGCTTTCACCCTACATATTCATGTTATGTGCTGAAATATTAAGAGAGAGAGAGAGAGAGAGAGAGAGAGAGAGAGAGAGAGAGAGAGAGAGAGAGCACAGCAGGGACATACGACGAGTGGGAGTTGTTTATCCTACAATAAAACACTGCAAGAGTATAAACCATGAGGGCCGCAGCTCCGAGTGGTTTATTCTCCTACACCCTCTTTAAGAATGTTGATAAAATGTACAAGCTTAAAAAATATTAACCCCTATTTAAATAATGATGACTCCCTCAATAGAATCCGACCTCGGCAATGTAAGTCAAGTCCATTTTATGCACAGGTGGATATTTCCCGCATATTCTCACAATTCTTACGTCGATTACCCGTACCTTTTCTCCCAAATACGCATTGTTATATATCTCCCGGTCTTGGATGCGATCGCTCTGCCATCGTGTTTATCTGCGTTCCCCAGCTACATCTGTGGCGAACAACTCACTGGACACTCCCCTCTAAAACATAACGTCATGAAACATACGACGTCATCAAGTTGCGAGCGCTTGTTCGAATCTCCAGAAATGACATCATGATAGAATAATGTTTTATCGTGAAATAAACCACGCTTTGTTCTTCATTGGTCATTGTAAGTAATAGCGTAGCAATCCTATATGTCCTGATAGTATTTCAATTACCTTGTTTAAGCTGCGAATACCTCCAAACGTTCACACGTATCGTTAAGAAATAACGCATCGGCCCTCTTGGTGAATAAAAGTCCATTGTAAGATTCCGACTATATTACAACTATACTATACCGTCTGTACCAGTCACTATCAAATAGTCATAAATCGACAATTTCTTGGTAACACAGCTACTGCTTTGTGTAATACGAGGTTCCCATGCGTGTATGAAGACTAAATCACGAAGTTACAGATTAATAACTGCCTCAGTGTTAGAGAAATCATGTAGAGAATTTGACTGGGAAACTGTGCGAATGATGAGTGAGTGAGTATGGTTTTACGCCGCTTTTAGCAATGTTCCAGCAATATCATGGCGGGGGACACCACAAACGGGCTTCACACGTTGTACCCATGTCGGGAATCGAACCCGGGGCTTCGGTGTGACGAGCGACCGCTTTGACCACTAGGCTACCCACTGCCCCTGTGCGGATAAAGCGAACTGTGAATACAGGGCAATATATGCGAGGCCCTCGTTTTCCCCTCGCACACCAGCGCTCAAACTAGACTCAATATCATGTGACAACATGTTAAGCATGGCTATCAAAATAAAATATGATTCAAATAAAATGTCGAGACAAAGAAATTATACACTTGAAAATCGTATTTGACCAACAAATTACATTACCAGGTTGAAAACAGTTGCCAAAACTTTCTTGTTTGTTTCATTTTTAGTCACGATCAAACATGTGTGTATACTTACTAATGTCAGGCAGTTTATTATCTGCAATAACAGTGTATTCACAATTAAAGTTAAAGTTCATTCTCTACTGAAGATATTCATCTCATATTCGTTTGACTCTTATACACTCTTCAAAAAAAGAAACGCACAGGTAGATTTTTAGTATTGTCCCTAATTCAGTCGATATACGGTCTGCAGTGGAACTGAACTGTGTGTATCGGTCCCAACGGCGGCAAATGGTGCTGTGGTAGACGTTAAAGTGGCGTGCAACAGAACACTGCGATTCCCCTCTTTGGATACGTCCTATGGCGATGTCGAGTCCTATCGGCAGCGCTGAGTCTCGGCATTTTTAAACTTGAAAGATGTTGACAATTGAACGACAAATTTATTGGCTTATGATTGCCTTTTTATAACCACTACCACGAGTTACGAATGCCATAACTTGCACGTGCATTTTGCTTTACTGTTTTCCTCCATGACATTTTTGAACAAGCGTGAAAATAATGCCGTTTAAGACATTGCAAATCGACAATGGCTGTGCGTTTTGACGCACCGTTTGTCGAACATGAGGCCACCAACATTTTTCAATAAGAGGTATCCAATTTATATACCTGATTCTTTTGTGTAGTCAGGTTCAATTAATTACATACTACCTGTGCGTTTCTTTTTTTGAAGAGTGTAAGTGACAATCTATTTCATAAGAATTTGGGTTTCCATGTCATTTCCTCATACTGAAACATGCTGAAGGTTTCTAACTCTAGCCGATACCCTGTGTATTCAGTGAGTGAGTGAGTGGGTTGGGTTTAACGCCGTTTTGAACAGTATTCCTGTATTCCATCCCAGCGTATTCACGTCATGATGGCGTAATGGAGGCAACTGCCTCCGTGGTCTAGTGGTAGAGCGTCCGGCCGGAGAGCGCATGGTCCGGGATTCGATCTCTGGCCGCGTCATACCAGAAGACGTTAAAAGATGGTACTTGTTGTTACCCTGTCTGGCGTTCGGCATTAAGAGGCTAAAACAAGAACTGGTCGGCTCGGAGTCAGAGTGTCTGTGTCTGAGTAGGGTATTCATGTTAAACTGCACGCACGCACGCACGCACGCACGCACGCACGCACGCACGCACGCACGCACGCAAGCACGCACGCACGCACGCACACACGCACACACACACACACGTGCATGTACGTCGCTATATAAATGCTATAATCTTGGACGCGACGTTAAACCCCATTTCAAATCACGTAATTGAGGCGGTAGGGTAGCCTAGTGGTTAAGGCTTTCGCTCGTCGGGTCGAAAGCCCAAGATCGATTCTACACACGATAAACATAGTGATTCCTGCGACGATATTGCTGGAATATTGCTGAAATAGCGGCGTAAAAACATACTCCCTCACATCCTAATTGATGTTCCCTGTTCTCACGGGTTTCTTTCTGATGATATACCAGCAGATGATATTCAACAAAGACACCGCGAAGATGGACCCCGTACTACCGGGGCCATTGTGTCGGATGTATGGTCGAGGGCCCACTGAGAACTATCAGGGAGAGTGCCCAACATGCGCCCTGGTGTGTGACGGAGGTGTGTCCCCTCTCAAAAGCAGGTGTTTCTCTCACTTCCCTCCCTCTCCTCCCACCTCTGTCCCACCTCTCTCTCTCTCTCTCTCTCTCTCTCTCTCTCTCTCTCTCTCTCTCTCTCTCTCTCTCTCTCTCTCTCTCTCGGGGCGGTCGGGTAGCCTAGTGGTTAAAGCGTTCGCTCGTCACGCCGAAGACCCGGGTTCGATTCCCGACATGGGTACAATGTGTGAAGCCCATTTGTGGTGTCCCCCGCCATGATATTGCTGGAATATTGCTAAAAGCGGCGGAAAACCATATTCACTCACTCACTCACTCACTCTCTCTCTCTTCTCTCACTGTGTATCGCTCTCTGTATCTGTCCGTATGTCTGTTTCTATCCATCCTCCTCTCTCTGTGTCTCTTTCCGTCTCTCTTCTCTCTCTGTCTCCCTTTTTTCTCACTGTGTATCTCGCTCTGTCCTTCTCTCTCCCCATATCTCTCTGTCTCTCTTACTGTGTACCTAACTCCCCCTTTCATTCCCTCTCTGTGAATCGTCCTCGGTCTCTCTCTCCCTATCTCTGTGTCTTATCTTTCTCACCGTGAATCTCGCTCTGTGTCTCTCCTCTCTCTCTCTCATTTTCTCTGTGGCACTGTGTATATCTCTCTGTCCTCTCTTTTCTCTCTGCGTGTCTCTCTTCTCTCTCTGTGTCTCCCTCCCTCTCCTCCCAACTCTGTCCCACCCACCCACCCTCTCTCTCTCTCTCTCTCTCTCTCTCTCTCTCTCTCTCTCTCTCTCTCTCTCTCTCTCTCTCTCTCTCTGTGTGGTAGCCTAGTGGTTAAAGCGTTCGATGGTCACGCCGAAGACCCGGGTTCGATTCCCGACATGGGTAAAATGCGTGAAGCCCATTTCTGGTATCCCCGCCGTGATATTGCTGGAGTATTGCTAAAAGCGGCGTTAAACCATACTCACTCACTCTGTGCCCCTCTCTCTCTTTACTCTGTGTGTGTCTCTTTTTCTCTCTCACTGTGTATCTCTCTCTCTCACCCTCTCTCTTTCTCTGTCTCTTTTGTGTATCCCTCTTCTCTCTCTCCCTCTCCTCTCTGTTCTCTCACTCTCTCTCCTCTCTCTCTCCCTCCCTCTCCCCCCTCCTCTCTCCTTCTGTCTTTCTGCGTGTCTTTGACAACAGTTGTGATCATTATGTTCATGTGTAATGTGGAAATGCGATACATCTTAACATACTGTTCACGTGATCCAACCACTTACCCACCCCGTCCCACCCCACCCTACCCTACCCTGCCCTGCCCTGCCCCGCCACGCCCCGCCCCACCCTTCCTTCACGGGCCCACCAATACATTGCTGTCGAAACGAATACTCACAACTGGCCTATTCTGAGGTTTCCATACAGCTGAACATAAATGCTCTGATCAGATATTTGTAAGACGACGTGATCGGAATATCACTGTTAATGTGTCGTCGTCACAAATCTGTTCAGCTCTGTGAAGCCATCTCCAGATGCAGTGGTGACTGTGAACACAATCACCCTATGTGCATCAATGTGTGACAGGTAGTGAGACATACCTGGAGGGGGAGGTCTCACAACCGATATGTAGATTTATTTGCGAAGCTCCTAATTTACCAAACTAACAGTTCCCACACATACTGCCAATACTATAGTTATGTCATCATGACATTGACGTGCGTTTGGTGATCTGTTCCGTATATTCGAGAAAGACATGTTTAAAGCGTGTGAATACTTTGGAGACAGACCCAGGTTAATAAGGGAGGCTGAAAGCTGAATAGTCTGCTCAAAAGAAGCAGTTGACAATATAGGGACATCATTACTCATGGGCATGACCCTATCCATTTCGAATAAGAGCAGGTCGAGTAAGCCTCAGAAACTATCACGCCTACCAACGCGAAGTGACCTGAAAACGTCTTCTTAACCATGGGACAGAATAAACGTGTCACCCTATTCCTCACGCTCGGCAACATTGCCAACGTCGTCGTCATCGTCCTCATCCTTGCTGCCATGGGCACCGATAAATGGTTGATGTACAAAGTTGACAGGACGAAGCTGACGACCACGCAACAAACATCATCATCGACGGGGATCACAGCGCGATACTACCACACCCGCCACAGAGGCATGTTCCGTGAGTGTTACCCTGGCAACGATACCCTATTCCTTGATACGATAGGTGGGGTTGAAGACAAGAACTGCTTCAAGCTGATGTTCAGTGACAACATCGCCGGTGCCAGTGACGCGTACACCTCTATGTTGGCCCTGTACACGACCTTCATGGCCACGTTCCTTGTGGGCGAGCTGCTCCTCGTCATCTGCTACATGGCAGGATTGTACCTCTGCATAGCAAGACCTCGCTCGCACGTGTGGGTCCCAACCATCCTAGTGTGTGTCGCTGCATTTGTTATAGTTCTTGGGATGGCGTTCTTCCACAGCTCAGTCTACATCGAGGAGAACCTTGTCGTGGACCAACTTGAAAACCGCCAGCAGTTTTACCAGAAATGGCCAAGCGAACTGAAGCGGGCCACAACACGATACTTCAAGGAATCCTACATCGCTGCCTGGGTCGGGTTCGCCTTTGCTATCATTGCCGCCTTTTGCTATAGTTTCGTTGCATCAGAATTGACCCGGAGTAGAAGTCCGTTGGAGAAGTACCTGCAGCGGCAGCCTAGCTTTAAACCTCCGAGGAGACCTCAACATGCTCTGCGACCTGTAAGACCAATGCCTGTCTTGACACTTGGCCGACCTGGGAAAAAGCCCATGAAACTGAAGTCTTTAAAGGTCCTTGCCTCCCCTTCTTCATACTACAATCTATATTGACAGTGACTTCGTTGTTCTCTGGATTATTGAAACAGCACATGTTATCACCGTTACCCCCGAGCCATGACAAGCTGTGCGTCAGTTACTAGTTTGTGTTACAACAGTGAAACCACGTTATTTCTGGACCCTGGCAGTCCAGAAACCCTCCGTTGTGAGGTGAACTGTCTGGTACGTCACATTCAAGAGGACTTTACCCCACGGCCATAATTCGTTAATCCAGAATTTATTTTCAGGGTAATTTCAATGGTAAAGGTGTGTCTGTATTAACGGAGCTTTGCTGTATAACCAATGCTGGTAATTTTACCATTCTTCTCTTTACCTACTACAAACAAGGCTATCTTCATGGCTGGAATTATGTTCAAGACAGGTGCGTTTTGAAAAGTATGGATACTCAAAATATACATACGGTTATAACGAACTCAAAGGGACCACTAATTTTAGTTCGTAATAACCGTAGTTTGTTATAAGCGTATATACAGCATATACACAACAAATGGCCGGTTCGTTATAAGCGTGTTCGTTATAAATGTAGTTTACTGTAATATTTTTATGTGAAAAAAATATTCTGGAAGCTTTGTTCAAGCTTTGTTTTGGTTATTTATTTGAAATATTTTCAAACCTGTCAGTGTTAATGAAACTGTTTGAACATTTTGTTAACGAAAAATCATTCTCTTTAAAAAAGGACAAGGCATGAAACCCCTGCTGTTATCCATGAAAGATGCATCCATCGCTCACTAAAACCTGTGCGCCTTGTTTCATATAGGGGGCGGTCGGGTGGCCTAGTGGTTAAAGCGTTTGCTCGTCACGCCGAAGACCCGGGTTCGATTCCCGACATGAGTACAATGTGTGAAGCCCATTTGTGGTGTCCCCCGCCGTGATATTGCTGGAATATTGCTAAAAGCGGCGTAAAACCATACTCACTCACTGTTTCATATAGAATATCATATTGTCCTTTTTGCAGTTACAATATCAGCATTTGTTTCATGGTTATATTTTGAGTTTATTTAGGTTTGGCGAACATTTAGTATCATCACTATTTGATAGTGATTCGTAAATATTGAACATCAACGCCATAGAATAATCTGTCTCGATAATCGGCCCATACTGCCTCCATATGGTGTAAAGAAAATCAGTGATGCCACCAAGTGTTCCAGAAAAGGGAAAGCATGCCCAGCTCTACGTGTAGGACCCGCCATTCACACAATTTGCAAAAAAAGTATATGTTAACACATCCTTCTGATATAGTCGGAATCGCACAATATTTCTAAAAGCGTCATAAAACCATACTCACTCACTCTTAAAATATATTTTAACGTCACGTTCATTTTAGACATTGTCACAAATACTTACCTCAAATGTTATATTTATTATTATTTTATTTATATCCATATTAATATCAATAGTATAATTTCAACGTGTTTGATACATAGACATGCTATAAATAGCATGTGTTGATATATAGATATGATAAAATCATGTGTAGATATATAGATATAATGTAATCAAATGTTGATTTATAGATATGATATAAACATGTGTTGATATGTTTATGTGCATTGTTATTATTGATTTCATAATGTTACGCTTTAACCACTAGGCTACCCGACCGCCCCAGAGGGGCCCAGAGAGAGAGAGGGAGAGAGAGAGAGAGAGAGAGAGAGAGAGAGAGCGAGAGAGAGAGAGAGGGAGAGAGAGAGAGAGAGCGAGAGAGAGAGAGAGAGAGGGAGAGAGAGAGAGAGAGAGAGCGAGAGAGAGAGAGAGAGCGAGAGAGAGAGAGAGCGAGAGAGAGAGAGAGAGCGAGAGAGAGAGAGAGAGAGAGCGAGAGAGAGAGAGAGCGAGAGAGAGCGAGAGAGAGAGAGAGCGAGAGAGAGAGAGAGCGAGAGAGAGAGAGAGAGGGAGAGAGCGAGAGAGAGAGAGAGAGAGAGTGTGTGTGAGAGAGAGAGAGAGAGAGAGAGAGAGAGAGAGAGAGAGAGAGAGAGAGAGAGAGAGAGAGTGGGTGCTAAAACGGCCTGATGTTAGGAGAGACATGACAGTGTCAATCTACAAGCAGTCGTTTGTTTCCCTTTGGAATGCAGCACGAACGTAAATCGTCATGCACTACTTGCATTGAAAGCACAGTTGATATGAATCAACTATGGAGTCCTAGAAGGGACATTGTCGCGTTGTCGCATAGTCGCCCTTTGGTAAAATATTATTCAAAGCGCGACAATGCGACAAATGGCCAAAATGTCGCGTTGTCGTATTTTCGCATTGCCCCGCTTTGGTTCATTTTGACACTTTTTGCTTGTTTTTGTCAGGGCGACAACACGACAATGTCCCTCCTAGTGTTCCATAGTCAACGCTTAGCGTTTTGCAGATTCCATCACCATCGCCTCATACCAGGGTCGATGCCGAATTCCTTTCACATTCCACCGACAGGCAGGTTGGTTCACCACGAAGCTGAATACAACTGAAAAGACATCGCGCACACGAATACACTTCACTGTTCTGAATTCTGCGCGAAATTCCCTGTTCTGTGTTATCTGTCCAAAGTCATTTTAGGCAAAGAAACATTCTTAAAAACCTTTTTTCTTACTAAAAACGACCTCTGAAAATTAGCATCACCCACTGACCATCTAATTGCAGAGTAAGTCCAAGATGTGTGTGAGAATTAACACGATTCAGTCTTCATATTGTTCATAAATACAGACCGCCTCCGTGGTCTAGTGGTAGAGCGTCGCGCCGGGGAGCGTAAGGTCCGGGGTTCTATCCCCGGCCGCGTCATACCAAAAGACGTTATAAGATGGTACTTGTTGTTACCCTGTCTGGCGCTCGGCATTAAAGGGCTAAAAGAAGGACTGGTCGGCTCGGAGCCAGTATACTGTCTGAGTGGGGTATCCATGTTAAACTGCGACATGATATTTCAGTGTGCTAGCACTATAAATCGGCTTAGTACAAGCAGCCACACACAGACACACGTGCATGCACGTCGCTATATAAGCGCAATAATCTTGGACGCGACGTTAAATCCAATTTCACCTCACCTCATAAATACATATGACACTGTATACTTGCTGTTCTCGTCTAAGAAATAAAAACTGATTCAGTCTTATTAGGATTAGAATTTACTTTCGACAAATGCAATGCAATATGTATAATATTCAGTATTGTAATTTTATATAAACAAGTTCATCTGTCGCCATTTCAATTTATCTTATACCTAAAACTTCATATGTTACTTACAATATGCATACACAACATGGATCATATTGGCATTAAATATATGCACACTATTGTAGAAGGAATTGTTTCTGGTCGTTTGCATGACAGGGCATTGATGTGTAACGATTCACCGGGTGCACGTTGTCACAAATGGTTTAGGAATGACTGGTCTAGTTTTGTATTATATAATCAATTTTTCACCCTTTATAAAGCATTGTGGTCGCACGATATTAAACTATTTACGTTATTTCTTTAATAGAAAAATAAAAAAAGAATAAAATAAATCTACCAAGTTAACGAACCTTGTACGATATATGAGAGAGGGCCATCAAGTGCGTCATTATATTTTTTTATGTATTTATATACTGAGTCAAATTAAAAACTTCACATTTTTAAAAGTAATCCCATATATGATATACAACGGACAAATGTATCAGAGAAGGTAATTTTTAATCATTAATGTCCAAAGAAGGATTATAATTAACGGTGGTAACAATAATTTGTTCCAAGCACCTACGATATTCGGTAATAACATCAACAGTTTAAATCGTAAGTCCCAAGCACGAGAATCTGATGGCACACAAGTTCAGTAGCGTGTATGGCCACCATGTGCGTTGACAACTGCCACACAACGCCTCCGCATGGACCTTGTGATGCTTGTGAACATATGATTGGGAAGACGACGCCATTGTTGCTGCAAAATGGTGCCAAGATCTTGCAAATTCTGTGGTTGGTTCTGGAGAGTGCCAAGACTTCTGCCAAGAGCATCCCGGACATGTTCGATGGGATTGAGGTCGGGAGACCTTGACGGCCAGTCCATGACGTTGACTCCCGCATTCTGAAGGAAATTCCTTGTCAAAATTACTGTGTGGGGTCTGGCATTGTCGTGTTGGAAGATCAAACCGGGTCCATGTGCTGCCATAAAAGGCAGAAGTTCTGGTGCCAGTACCTGGTCGCGGTAAGCAGCAGCGTTGAGGTTGCCACGGATGACAAGAAGCCTGGAACGTGCATTGCCACAGAAAGCACCCCACACCATGACACTTCCGCCTCGAAATCTGTCAGATTCCTGTACACAACACTGGGCGTAACGTTCATGACGGCGCCTCCAAACCCTCGCCGTACCATTAGCAAATCGAAGATTAAATCGGGATTCGTCACTGAAGACGACTTGATTCCAATTCCTCTGAGTCCATCGTAAGTGTCGCTGTGCCCACAATTGACGTTGACGTCTGTGTAATTGAGTCAGAATCGGCCCGCAGTATGGCCGTCGTGCTTGAAGGTGAGCAGTTCTCAGACGATTTCGAACAGTTTGCGCACTCAGTCTACCCCTAAACAGTTCATTTCTGGTTGATGTAGCCGTCAAAAATCGATTACGGAGGTGACGTAAGACAATCTGACGATCCTCTGCATGTGACGTCACACGTGGTCGACCTTGCCGAGGGTGATCAGCGGTGGTACCCGTTTGCTGTAGACGCGTCTGTAAATCATAAACAGTCCGTCGACTACAACCTATCGTCCTTGCGACTTCAGCTACGGACGTTCCCGTCTGCAACATGCCGATGGCACGTTCACGTTGCACATTTGAAAGGCGTTGCATGACAAAGACTTTTGTTTTCTTGTGTTTTTCTTTTTTTGTTAATGACTGCTAACAAGTATGGCTTAACACACGTGCGGTATTATGGCCACGTGACCAGTTGCACGTGAAAAAACACTTTTGCCACTATAGTGCTGTGCACATGATTTTGATCGATTCACCTGCACAAAAATGGGTGTTATCTGAAGACAATACGTGGCCATTACTGTTTAAATACACAATAAGGGCCAACAATGATAACTGGTCAAAATGTTAAAATTTTAGGATTGTGAAGTTTTTAATTTGGTTAAGTATATATTTGTGTTGGAATAATTTGGTTTCAGGATAGTTCACTGTCACACCCTGATATATCCCGGATATACCACCCCACAATCACGCCCTGCTATATCCCGGGTAGTGCACCCACTCTCACACTCTGCTAAACCCGGGCGTAGATCTACTATCGGGTATTCCATTCCACTATCACGCCCTGCTATATCCCGGGTAGTACACCCACTCTCACACTCTGCTAAATCCCGGGTATTCAACCCCACTGTCACCCCCTGCGATATCCCGGGTAGTCCACTCCACTGTCACCCCGTGCGGTATACCGGGTAACCCACCCAACTGCCACCCCCTGCGATATACCGGGTATTCCACTCCACTGTCACACCCTGATATATCTCGGGTAGTCCACCCCACTGTCACACCCTGCTATATCCCGGGTAGTCCATCCCACTGTCACACCCTGCTATATCCAGGGTAGTCCACCCCACTGTCACACCCTGCTATATCCCGGGTATTCCACTCCACTGTCACAACCTGCTATATCCAGGGTAGTCCATCTTACTGTCACATTCTGCTATATCCCGGGTAGTCCATCCCACTGCCACCCCCTGCTATATCCCGGGTATTCCACCCCACTGTCACACCCTGCTATATCTCGGGTATTCCGCCCCCCGTCACACCCTGCTATATCCAGGGTAGTCCACCCCACTGTCACACCCTGCTATATCCCGGGTATTCCACCCAACTGTCACACCCTGCTATATCTCGGGTATTCCGCCCCCCGTCACACCCTGCTATATCCCGGGTAGTCCACCCCACTGTCACACCCTGCTATATCCCGGGTAGTCCACCCGACTGTCAAACCCTGCTATATCCCGGGTAGTCCATCCCACTGCTAAGCCCTGCTATATCCCGGGTAGTCCATCCCACTGCCACCCCCTGCGATATCCCGGGTTTTCCACTCCACTGTCACACCCTGCTATATCCCGGGTAGTGCTCTCCAGTGTCACACCCTGATATATCCCGGGTAGTCCACTACACTGTCACACCCTGCTATATCCCGGGTAGTCCACCCAACTGTCACATCCTGCTAAATCCCGGATAGTCCACCCCACTGTGTCACACCCTGCTATATCCCGGATAGTCCACCCCACTGTCACACCCTGCTATATCCCGGGTAGTCCACTCCACTGTCACACCCTGCTATATCCCGAGTAGTCCATCCCACTGCTACGCCCTGCTTTATCCCGGCTAGTCCACTCCACTGTCACACCCTGCTATATCCCGGGTAGTCCATCCCACTGCCACCCCCTGCTATACCCTGGGTATTCCACCCAACTGTCACATCCTGCTATATCCCGGGTAGTCCACCCCACTGTCACACCCTGTTATATCCCGGGTAGTCCACCCCACTGCCACATTCGGCTATATCCCGGGTATTCCACTCCACTGTCACACCCTGCTATATCCCGGGTAGTCCATCCCA